AAAAAAAAATTTTTTTTGCTAAATGAAGCCAGTTACAAAAGAGCACGTGTAACCTTACTCCATTCATATGAAATGTCCAGAATAGGCAAATCCACAGAGACAGAAAGCAGACGAGTGGTCGCTAGGGATAGAAGAACCCACGTGCCACTGCAGAATACCACAGACTGGGTGGCAGAAGGGGTTTTTCACAGTTCTGGAGGCTGGGAAATCCCAGAGTAATGCTCCAGCAGAGTCAGTGTCTGGTGAGGGCCACTTCCTGGCTCACACAGGTGCCTTCTCCCTGTGTTCTTACAGAGCTCTGTGGGGCCTCTTTTATAAGGGCACTAATCTCATTCATGAGGCCCCACCCTCATGTCCTAATCACCTCCCAAAGTTCCCAGCTAACATCATTCTAATACTATCACCCCGGGGGTTTCAAATATGAATTTGGGGGGAGGTGGACACAGACAGTCAGATCATAGTGATAAATCCCTACCTAAGAAGAAGAAATTTTAGGTCTACTAGGTTCTTTCTTTCCTTTCTTTCTTTTCTCTTTGTCTTTCTCTCCTTCCTTCCTTCCTTCCTTCCTCTTTCTTCTCTTTCTCTCTCTCTCTTTTTTTGAGATGGAGTCTTGCTCTGTCACCCAGGCTGGAGTGCAGTGGCATGATCTTGGTTCACTGCAACATCTGCCTCCTGGGTTCAAGCAATTCTCCTGCCTCAGCCTCCCAAATAGCTGTGATTACAGGCATGTGCCACTACAACTGGCTAATTTTTGTATTTTTTGGTAAAGATGGGGTTTCCCCATGTTGTCCAGGCTGGTCTTGAACGCCTGACCTCAAGTGATCTGCCTGCCTTGGCCTCCCAAAGTGCTGGGATTAGAGTTGTGAGCCACCACGCCTGGCCTCTACTAGGTTCTTAATAAGTGGTAGACCCAGTTACCACCAGGATACTTTTTGTCAGTATTTGAACACCACCAAAGTGTTTCAGTATGTAAGCTGATAAGAAACCACGAATTATAGTCTAATAATCTAAGCATGTTTACTTACCGCCTCGGGGAGAGGGAGAATCGTGCCCCCCAACGATCACGTGGACACCAGAATCTTCCAATTTCACTCTCCATTTTTCAATGATAGCCCCAGACTTGTCCTGAAAGCAGAACGCTGGCAGGTCAGGAAACTGCCCTCAGAACAGTCAACCGTTGCTGACACTGGGGCTGAGTCACCCGATAGGAAGTTGATACAAACCTTACTGGCATCATTGAAAACAGACAGCTCCATCGTGCCTTCAAAGTCCTGCTGCAAAACAGACCTCAAACATTCATCCAGCCATGGTTCAGCATTGTGGACTGGGAGGATAATAGACTGGAATTTAAAAAAATGGATTAATAGAAGTGTGTAAACTTAGTTCCCTTTCCATGGCTCTAATTTACCTCCCCTTCACCATCCGCACATATGCCGTGACAAACAAAAGGTGTCCACCCCTTCTCTCCAGGCTCTTAACATGCTCATAAGATTTTTTATGCCTTAGCTTTCCCTGAACTGCCTTCCATATGCTTTTGAAAGGGGGGAAAAAAAACTGAAAGGACTTTGGGAGGCCGAGGCGGGCGGATCACGAGGTCAGGAGATCGAGACCAGCCTGCCTAACACAGTGAAACCCCATCTCTACTAAAAATACAAAAAATTAGCCAGGCATGGTGGCGGCGCCTGTAGTCCCAGCTACTCGGGAAGCTGAGGTGGGAGAATGGCGTGATCCTGGAAGGCGGAG